AGGGGGTCGGACTAGATGATCTGCTCAGGTCCCCTCCAACCCTACTTCTGTGAATCTATGAAGAGCTACCTTCCAGTTCAGTTCCTGGTGAAGGGAGTTAACCTTCTTATAGGGAGAAGTGTACCCCAAGATCCAAGGAGCAAAACAGACAGCTCCTCTTCGCTGAAGACATTTACTGAGCCAAAGCCCACCCAGCCAGAGGTGGTCTGTCCTGTCTAAAAATTGAATCCCTCTGTCCTTAATCCAGCCTGCACAGCCTTTAGCATCCCAAAGTAGGCTCAACTGTTCTCTCAGAGGTCTACAGAGTTTAAGCTTAAGCCCTGAAGTTGCTTAGCAGTTCTTGCTCTTCAGACTCTCCCCCCTCACCTGGCTGGCATGTTGTTGACCTTATCTGGCTGTTCTATCCATTTTGATGCCTGTCTCAATCTGCTTCCTTTTGGAATCTCCTCCAGAAGATAAGTATCAAGCCCACCTGAAGCATCTGCAAGGCTATTCAATTCCCTATTGAGGCTGGAGTTCCATCTAGTCTTTTCCTCCATGTAGATGGCTCTGGAACCGAGCAAGGGCTGCCTTTTCCAATGTACAAGCTAGTGAGGGAACAGCAGTGGCACGCAACATTATTACAACGTGAGCACAGTTAAAACAAAAATATTGTGATAAAACCATAATCTGCCACCTTATTGTTTTTAACACCTTGATAAAGCCTATTTAAATATTAGTTTCTCTTTGAGTGCATCAGGCATCTGAATACAAATAGCTCCTCCCTGTATCTCCAGTGAATTTCAGTGGCAATACAGGTTTCTTGCTTTAAAGATTAGGTGGTGGTTTTAATTTGAAAAAAACAGGGCTTGTGGCATCATCATCTATTTTTAATATATTCTGGCATAAAGTTGTTCATATTAAAAGCTTTAACCATGTTCATGCTTTTATTACCATGAGCAATTCAGGGCTTATTCTGACAAGCGGCATAAAGGCAGGCCAAAGAATATTGTGCCCACCTTCTAGTTACAATATTGGTTTTATTTTTCATTCAGATGCATTGCATCAGTTTCTAGCCATTTCATCATCCCACCATTGTGAAAATATGGAATATCTATTTCTTTGTGACAGGGGTGTAGGTTGTAGCTGTGTTGGTCTAAGGACATAGGCAGACAAATTCACCCAAAGAACCTTGTCTGCCTATTTCTTTGTGATGAGTTCAAGAAAATCCATTTGTTACAAATGAGTTTGAAACAGGCTCCAAAGTAATCGACCAAGAAATGCAGTATGTTGCTTGTGCTGCATCCATCCATGTATTCAAACAGTAATAATAAAAAGCCAAGCAAACTTAGTAGCATGGATTATTAAATGAATGATAAGAGAGCCCTGGTCACGTACTTCCTTTGACAGGTAATCTCTTTGTATAGCAGCATGTACTCTTTACTAAGTCTCTAAATGTGCTGGTTTTGTTGCACCTTTTTTTTCCTCAATCAGTAGTTGGCAGGATGAACAGCTAATCAGGTGAAATGCCTACTATGTATTTGGCAGGAAAAACTTTAACATTGTGTCTTGGGCTTCTAGGCTTTCAAAATACGGATGTTTTGCATGCACTGCTTGCTTATTTTCAAATGTACATGTAGAATTTGCATGTGCAGGCCTATCCTCATACATGTATAGAACATGCATGGGATCCACAAATTTTGTGATTTTTCTGTAGTGTCACTCCCTACTAATTACAGGGTCAGCAGGCTGTCCTGGTCTGTATGGACAACCTGTGAGCCAGTTTATCTTGCTCTGCTCCCATTTCCCCATCCCTAAAGTAGAGATTTTTAAAATATACCTTTATTTGTTAAAGCATTTAAGATCTGTGGGTGAAAAGAGCTTATTTGAATAGTATTATTGACAATGTTTATGTTTTGCTGTCAGTACCATGTAATTAGCCATGCTAATTAACAACACTCAATATGGGCACTGCTTGCTTATGCTGAATTTTTAAAAATTTGGCCTCTCAAAAGTACTTGCTGATTATTGAAATAAAATTGTAGGCTTTTTTTCCTCATGTCTTGGTTAGTAATAAGTGTTACACGAGTCATTTTCCCAATTATGGGTCTTTGAGGATTGCAGACTTTTATTGCTGTGTACCTATTTTGCTTTTCTATTGACACTTCCAAGTAATTGAAAAAAATTGGCAAAATAATCTGTGAGTTGGAAACGTTCAAGTATTTCACAAGTTTGTTCTTTCTCTTTTCTGCGTAATATGAATATACTGTATTTATCTGAATCCAAGACTACTTCAGAGTTGACCCACCCCCATCCCCCAATACTTATATTCTGCACCTGGAAAATTATGCAAGTATTATAGTTTTCCATGTACAGAAGCTAATCATTGAAGGGTTACCTTGTATTTGTCTCCCCCCACAGCTGTGGCAGGGAGAACAGGGGCCAAAATGCCAGACCCCTTGCCCCTTGCTCATCTGTGTTGGCTCCCTTGCACTTGCCTCCCACTCCCTGCTGCCTGACCTCTTGCCCCACCATGCCTATGTCTGCCTCCTTGCTGCATGTCCCCTCCACCCCTGCTGCTCACCCTTGAAGGCTCTGGCTCCAGGGGAAACAGCAGTAGTGGCCCTGCCTCTACTCAAATCCAAGATGAGGCTTTTCCTCCCTCCCTACCATGGTTTTTTGG